GGTGTTGAAGGGCAGCGCTGGGTGGGACCTGTGACCAGACAGCTCTCCACAGCAGAAGGAAACATACCGCGCTATGGCGTCGCACATAGGGAAGGCTGGGGAGGGATGTCTCCCCGGGGTGGATGCCCTGAGCGAGTTTCAGAGACTTAAATTCAGTGCAGGTGGCCCAGGAGTCAGCCCTACTGTCCTGTGTAGGATTCCCTGGCAGTGAAGTGATTGCACAGCTGTATTGGAGTTTCTTTTATGCAACAACAGAGAAGAGCTGTTGTATTTTGTTAATCTGACTTTTCCACATTAGGGACCAATCCCATCACTGCAATATAGAAGCTGTTTCAATCATGATGGTAAAAAGATGTTTGTCACTAATGAAACGCAATTTTGTAACCACTGATGAGTTTTTAATGGTGTGGATTCCTGGGATGATTCTGCTAAAATAGTAACATCACTTGAATAAACACAAGATCTCAAGAATAATTAATTTGCAATAAATTGCAAAATAATTTGCAAATACCTAGATCCTATTTTATTATAGTTCTTCATTGGAGCCTGATAGTTGGCTGTTTGACCTTTGGAAGAAGCCATGCAGATGGAGAGTACATTTTCATACACTTTAAACCCCTGCACTAAAATGAGAGGACTGCCCTAGTGGATGGAGAGACTGAAACAGACATAGGGGGGAAAGCAGTGAAATGGGGCTTTCAGAAAGGGGCAGTGGTAAGGTCTGGTCTGTGAGTGATGATGAAGGAATTGTGTTTTCTTCCTAAAAAGGTTTGTTCATGGAAGGAGCAGGAGGTTTGTCACATGAAGCATGCATCTGTGAAAGATGAAAAGGAGCTAAAGGAAAGTGCAAGAGCTCTGTCCTGGTTTGGAATTACGTTATTACACAGTGTTGCTCTGGCCAGGGGTACCACAGGCTCACATTTTACCTTGGTCTCACGAAACTGATCACTTTTCTGTTGGCAAGACCAAAGCACATGGCAAGTTGCTGTTACAGCATGGTTGTTAGATGGTAGGGAGCTGTGTTTGCTGCTGGGGAGCATGATTTTTTTCCCCCCTTTTTCACTCGGAGCAGGGCTTGTGTCCAAATTTGCTGTGTAGCATATAGGAATAGTAAGATGGTTGGGATCTTGGAAGACTGTTGTGAAACATACCTTGGCATAAAAATATTGCTCAGTTGTTTGTTTATGGTATCTTTGCAGTGTAAACTGTTAATAAGTACTTTGGTTTGATTGTTATTCTCTTTTTTTAATCACAATTACCTCTTCTAGGCTTTTGCTTTCATATTATTTTGTTTAATAATTTTGAACAGTCTTGCATCCATACTGAAAGGAGAAGTTATTCCCTGGTGGCATTGTGTGTACCTACAGAGGTGTCCTTCTGTATTCATTGACGTGAGGCATTATGTACAGTGCAGAGCTGAAACCACTGCAGCTTACTGTGTGCCTCACCATGTGTGCGCACACGTACTTTGCTGAATGAGTCTGGAAGTGCTGTGTCACAAAGCTCTTGTCTGTATTGGAGGTAGTTTTTTGCCTTTTTCCACCTGCATCCTTTGGATTCAGGATTATGAGGTATGTAATACCAGAATTTAAGAAAGGAATTTGCATGTGACTTCTCTTGGGAACAGAAGATGCAAGAATTATTTTGTTTCATATTTTAGTGATGAAACCAAGATTAAGTTCTGTATCCTAAAGCAAATTACAGTGTTGTTTTTATAGGAGGAGCTACATAAAGGAAACCACTCTTGTTTGTAGCAAAAAGAATTGTAAGCAAGCAACAAACACTAATGTTTACAAAGGAGAGAAAACAAAAAAGGATCAGCAAAAGAAGCAGCAAACTTCTGTCTAAGATGAGGAAAGGTACTTTCTAAAACAAAGAATTTGTGAGCTGTGCTGCTGCAATAGCCTGAAAAGACAACATGCAAGAGTTTAGCAGAAGGTGAGAGCAGCCAAGGTGTGCTTCTCCCTAGTTCTGTCCGACACCTTCACTCTTCTGACAGTCTTGAAAAGTCTCTTCAGAGAAGAAAATGCTCGCAGAGAGCAGTATGTAGTAGTGGCAACTCTCAGCACAGCTGCCCCAGGTTAAACGAAGTTCCTTGTGAGCACTTCTTCCACCCACGAAGCTCCAAGGGACTTGTGGAGAGCAACTGAAAATGAGGTTCAGGTCTGTCCTGAACCTGAGCATGGTGGTGGTTGCATTACAGTCTGAGTTACACTGGTTTAAAATGTGACTTTGTTAGGCTTTGTCATCCCAACAGCTGCAATTAATCTCTCTATTAGGAGTCTAATGGGTCTGGTTCACCTCTTCTTTAAAAGCGTTGTAAATTAGGAGTGACTACTGGAAGACAGAAAAGATTCCATGTGAAAAACTTCTCGTTGAGATAAGACAGGCAGGTATTTGAAGAAGCCTAGATATTTTAAAAGTATCGTGAAGAATTTTTTTTATATAGTTGTATGAAATATGTTTAACTGTGCTATATGTAATGGTTAGTATCGCTGTGATGATTGCAGTAATCCCAACAGCATGTGTTTTTACAAAGGGGTGGGGAAAATACTGGTGAATGCACAGTCAGCTCTGCCACTGACTTGGTAGGTGTGTCTGGGTTATTGACCTGTGGTGTGGGAACCCCTCTTGCACTTGCTGGTGTGCGCTATTGCTTTGCAGAAGGGACTTAATATGAGTTTTTTCCAAAGCTGACCTCTTTGAGGGCCTATAGGTTGATTTAGAAACTAGCTTATCACCTTTAAAAAGCCAACATTTTGAGGACATTTTAACACACGTTTTTTCCAGAAGATGCAGCATCCTGGAAGCCTTCCGAGTCCAGAACTGCTACAAAGTTAGGTGTAAAAAAGGAGAAATTAAAAAAAAAAAGAAATATATATATATAAAGTGCTGATAGCCAGTCACTTTGAGAAAGCTGTTTTCAGTGTGGTGGTGGGACAGGTGGAGGTCAGGCCAGAACTCCTGGAATCTGACTTGGCTGCCCAGGAAACATCTCCTGTTGAGTGTGCAGCAGTGATTTGAACACTTTGGATTGTATCACTGTTCACCTTAGCAAAATTTGAACGATTGCAGTGAGCTGGTCTTCAGTAGAGGTGGAGTTGACTCGCTAAGCTGGAAAAGAATGTTTGTAGCACAAAAGAAAGCTTAGCGTTATATGTACTGAGCACAGAAATGCTTGTGGAGGCAGGAAGCTTTCTTTAGCTGTCAGGTAATGGCCCTAAAAGTTAGTGAGTTTTGAGATAGGGAGGTTTTACCGTAATTCAGAAGCAAAGGCTGCTTTCCAAAGACTCATCTTTCACCTTTCTTTTTCTTATTTTTCCTGGCTGCAGTGGTGGCTAGCAGAGAGAAGAGGACACAGATAACAGCATGAATCACTGATAAGATGCGATTTATAAAAGCCTTTGATACTGTCTGCTGGGGCCGAAGGCTCTCGGAGCAATGCTGGACTGGCCCGCCTGGTGGCAAACTGCTTTCACTGGAAGTGCCTCTCCGTTTAGGAGGTTTGGGAACAACAAATACGCTCACTGGGATTTCGGACTGTAATCTAATCTCTGTGCTTTTTCAGGTTTTCAGGGACCTGCTCATCCCTCTTGAATAGCAATGTTTCCTCCGGCAGATAGTCTCTTAACAAACGTGGAGTTCGTGCTGCAGAGATACGGCCTGTGTCTCAAACTTCACAGAGTTTCTGGGGGGTTCTTCATCTTCTCCCTGTAGTCCTGGAACGGCAGAAATCAATATTCTGCCATCTGTAAATCCTTTGTTCCCCTTTTCACCAGGGCTTTATCAGCTTTGTAAGTGAAGGAGGGAGGGGGGAAGAGGGCGTTGAGAGAGCCATTGTCCCTTCTCTCGGGAATGATCTGGAAGTACTATGCAAATCTTCATTTGAAGACCCTGGGAACTGGGGGAGGGCTTTAGCTGCGAGCTCAGTAGGAGGGGAGCTCTGCATCCCTGCTCGCACACTCCTGCCTAGCGCAAGGAGCTGGGAAGAGTTTTTTGAACTGGCAGAAGAGACATTTTGTGCTTTGTGCACCTCTGTGAGGCTTTGCACTTCTTATGTCTACTGCTTTGTGCCTTTCTGCCTGCTTCTTCTAAATGTGTAAAAATTGGGTAGGGAGAGATCTAAGAGCTGCGATGAGTAGTGATGAAGTCAGAACAGTGCAGGGTGCAGCATCCTCCTGCCTTCCACCCTGGGGTCTCCCACCAAGCAGTAGTGCAGCTCCAGTGGTGCTAGCACACATACAGCCCAGCTGCTGGCATTGGCATAGAGCACAGATGCAGTTTAAGCAAGCAAATGAATCAGCTGGTCAGGAGTAGTGGAGTCAAATAGTTTGCAGTTCTCAAATTATCACATTGTATCCAAGTCTTAAAAAGCCTTCTCTTATGGGAGCAAGGACGCACAGAGCAGTACCTGCTTTATGAAACCCTGCAGCCTTGGCTTGGCTCGGAGCTCCGTGTCACCTGTTTTGTATTAGGGCAGGGTCACACGAGCGGCCAGTTTCCTGGAAGCTGTGTAGGGTCCTTCTTAGGCCTCCTGGAAGGGGAAATATCCGGACTGCATAGACAGATGGGTGAACAGGACAGCGAGGGAGGGAGAGTAGAGATGCACACCTACGCATTTTTTGTGTTTATAATCTACTGTAAATGCAGTCATTGTCTTTTTGATTTTCTGACCTTCATTTTCATGGCATCATTCCCATTTTTTATCTTTCAGAGTTTGAGGGGTTTTGTGTTTCAAGTCTCTGTTCCAGACTGCTGAGAAGATGTAGCCTTTTAAAAAAATCTCACCTTCTGTCAAAGCCATAGGAACACACGCCATGAGACCTGATTCTCTGTTGCCTCTCACGTTATATCCAAAGCAATGTAAAACACTAGTGTTTTGTTCTGCAAGTACTTTACTGCTTTGTAGAGGGAAAGTGCATCACAAGCATACTCGCATATGCACAACTGGGTCTAAATCAGCTCTCATTTTTTTCATGTGTAACTCTAGAGTGACTCAGCTGACTTGGGTGAATGTCTTCTGGAACTGTGCTAGCTGGAAACCAGCCTGGACATGCCCTGTCGCTCCTGTAAGTGCTCCCAACTACCTCTGCACACTCACGCATCCACGTAGATGCTTTTCTGAGTACACTTGTTTGCTTGTGGGCTGGTGTATGAATGCACATTCACCCACTCTTCACATATGCATGCAAACACACGCATTCTCAAGTGCACACATCCCTTCCCTTTCTCTCGTATACATTTGCACACATACACAGACCTTTTTGAAAGCTCCTGTTTTCAGAAAGGTTTTATTTATAGGTCCTGCCTGGTTGTGAATGTGAAAGGGAGAAAGCCCCTCAGAGGGTTCCTTTCATGTGTAAATCAGCCTAGGCTGAGAGCATTGGGGTCACCATGAGGAGGATTTCACTCTTAATTACTCAGAGAGAAAGCAGGCAGGGGACTTTCTCAAACTAATAGGGGAAAGCAGCTTGAGATGCCTGAGTTTTTCTTGCATCAGACTTCGGGCTCTGATTCACAGGCCTCTTCTGCCAGTAGCAAGAGCTGGTGTCTATGTGGCACTTGGAACAAACAGTTCAGCTTCCAAACTGGCTTACTTATCAAAGATGGTTATGTTCATTCTGATAATTGGGTGTTCTTTGGAGACCAGTGGAAGAACTGACCTCGTTTGCTTTATTTTTATGCCACTTTTATTGAAAAATTAAGTTAAGTTTGTGCTGCGTATATCTGTGGCTCCATCTGAGGACCTCGGTATTCCTCCAGACATACCTGAAAGCTCCCATCTCTCTGCAGAGTAGAAGAATGTTATTGTCTAGAGAGTAGTCCAGTCAGCAGGGCTCTGAACTTGGACTTAAAACCAGCACTGAATTCCCAGTTCAGCCACTGAATGCCTTTGTGATCTTTGACAAGAGACTCACTACCCTGTGCCTACCTGTGAAATGGTGTAATCTTGCTACAATGGGGCTGTTAAGAACAAAAGTCAATATGGATTGTGATACTCTTGGTAATAAGGCTGCAAGTGCCAAGGTAAATGTAGGTGATGAGCATGTCTGAAGAGATGTGTCTTTTTCCTGGAATGCGATGCAAGCACATGGATTTCCCTGCTGAAGTATTATTGTAACCTTTATCCATCGACACAAAACTGAGTCTGGAAATCTCCTGCAGAGATGGGAGCACCCCAGTCACAAGCCGCTCTGCTCTCTACAGGAACTGCAGGGCCTACTTGTACAACCACACACTAATACGAAGATGCAGTTGTAAAGTGTGGCTGTGAGTAGTTGCAGGGAAGAGATCTGTGTTGTCAAGTGCACATGTACACACAAGAAAGTATATTTTTTTAACTTCAGTTGACTCAGTTAAAACCTCCTTTTCATATGGCCTCTGCTTTTCTGGATAGGAAATAAATGCTTTGAGGGCCAGACATTCCCAACGTGTGCACAAACAGCCCCTTGGGAGCCCTGATACAGGATTCTTGAAGCTGCACTAGTTCAGTTTGCCTGGGAAGGCAGAGGTGTTAGTCCAGGAGCACCTGTTTGAGGAAGCTTGTAGTAGTGGTGGGGGCCATCAGCAGATGAGGTCAGCAGTCTGAAGTGTCTGCAGAGGTCAGGGAGAAATGAATGGGTCGTTTCTTTTGCAAATGAAGAGCCGCAGCCTGGAGCAGCATCAGCAGAGCCCAGCATGTGGGTCCAGGCTGTTCCTTTTATGAGCTGATGGAAATGGGGCCCAAAAGGACTTCCCTGATGGAGTTCTGTCGCAGCCTTTGTTATCTTTGCCTCCTGCAGCATGCACTGGGCATAGAATATGGATTGGGGGTTATCCTGGCTACTAGAGGATGTCAAGAGGATGAAGGCTTTATGGCTGCATAGAAAACCTAAGGCTGCAGGGTATCCTTATTGCCATTCCAGGAGGAAAATCTTGTTTTAAGACTTAGAACACATGTTTCTTTCTGCTTTAGTGCTCCTTTTTACCCAATCTACGCTAAAATGAGTAAATCCAAGGACTGCTTTAAAATAATGTACACAACTGAGTAACAGGGATTAAAAAGCCTGGGTTCTATTCTTCATTCTGGTGGTAAATCGTCGGTTACTTTGACAAAGCCCTGTGAATGCCTTATGATTCACTTTTTCTGTGAAACACTGAAGAATAGTAGTCTATTCCTTTTTCTAAAACATTTTGAGGATTTGGGGTGCAGAGTGTTTTATATATGCAAAATGTTGCTGTTAGTAGCACCATCTGTCAATTAAATAACTATTTTGTCTGCTTTTTATGCAACAATGTTACTTTCTCTGAATTGTTGTTCTAGAATTAATTTTATATTATATAAACAATGTCAATTCTGTTTTGCCATTTGCTCTTTTGCTTCTTTGCAGACCACCAGGGAACTTCTTTTGCTGTGACATTGTAATGGGAGGTGGAGACACCTCGAGGAGAAGGTCGAAACAGACAACAGCAATTACGGTCAATAACATCTATGACTTGAGAAAATCCCGCCTCAATTACAGGTTTGTGTATGATCTGTGCATGCCATCTTCCCAATGTACAGGTATTTAAAATAAGGCAGGGCATGGAAATAACTGTTTCCCTTGTAGGAGCTCTAGGAACAGCTTCCTATTATTATTGTCTTTTCATATCCTTAGATAGAGTAGGGCAGGGTGGGGGTTTTAAGGGGAAGGCAGCTAAGGTTGGAGTAGCTGTGCTCAGAGTTTTTCCTCACTGCTGTGATGGTAGAGCTGTGACAAGCAGCTAGAAGTTCGAACAGTCCTGGGACTGCCAGAACTTTGGCTAAAGAGGAAAATGAACTTAGGTTTAGATTTTATTTTTCAACCTCTGCTATGTCTGAAGGATTGTTTTTTATGGATTTTTATCTCCATTTTCCTTTAGAAATCTCAGGAAGACTTTCCACCCTTCAATTCTGTTTTGATGTGTTTTAAATGCTCGATAGGGAGCACGGCCACTCTCAGTAGGTTGCAGAAAGAGGACATAAAATCATAATATGTCTTTGGAGGCGTATGTGTGTTCTTTATTTCCTAGAAGTGTCAGCCAGGTTTATACTACTTTGTAAGAAGAGCTGCAAGAGAAGATTAATGTTTCTGAGGGCTCAGGGACAGTCTCATGTTTGGGGTAAGGCTGAGGTTAGCCATGGAGCCAGTGTCCAGGCAGTAATTTGACAGCAGACATGGGCACACAGTAATGCAGTCTCTGAAAATCACAGAAGCCTGCTGAGTTATTGTGAGCTGGAGGAGCTTTTCTGTTTGTGGGCACATGGGTCTGCCTGCCTCACATTGTGAAGACATAACTGAGACATAAAGGAGGCTGGCAAATTGCAGAACACTGATGGAAGGGGGGGACAGGGGGCAGAAGAAGAAAAGTTAAGAGTTTTTAGACAAAGGGCTCAAACCTAGTTGTGAATTCCTAGCAGGTAGTTGGTCTTTAAATGAAAGCATTTGTCGAGTAACATACTGATTTAATGTGGGAATCGGGTAGATATCTGCAAAGGTTTTTGCACCCTGTTTGCAGTGTGATTACAGATGTTAACAGAGAACATGATTTTACTTTCTACCAAGGTGTGTATTTGTTCATATGCCTGAACTATATAGGGCAGGCAGTATAGATGAAGCCATAGAAAGTGGATGACACTATGGGGTGTGGGCATATAATATCCCCACAGATTATGACTGATTGCAAATAAAGCATATAACTTGCTTTTCTTCTGTTAGTACCCCACTGTATTGTGAGCATCATTGTTGGATTATCCAGGGTCTTGCATCAGCAGCACTTTGCTGTACCTGGCTGATGGTCTAGATCCGCTGTCCCACAGACCCACTCCTGTTCCACTGGGGCAATATACCCTACTCAGCATCTCCATTATGAGTAGTGGCTTTCTTGGACCTTATGTTATCTCCTTTCACTGCACTGGGACCTCAGTGTCACGATGTAGTTGCTTGGTTGTACTCAGCAGTGGCTGTGAACAGACTGCACGTCTATACTGTGCCCATCACTGAACTGATAGAACAGATGCATTCCACAGAGCACAGCCAGCAGCTTCTCTCTGGTTGGTGTGTCTCCTTTTTGTGCCTATCAGGACTCAGCTAGGGAGTAAAACAGGCGCTGCCTGGCAGGTTGGTAGGCAGTCATGCCCTACGCTTCCCCCTGTATCCGATCACAGCCCTAGCTCATGCACAGGGTTGTAGTATTTTGAGATTGGTCCCTCATTTCAAAATTTTTTTTTAAACTTTCGAAAGCCTCTTCTTGAGCCTTGAACCATTCCCGTGATGGAGCCTTGTGAATTAATTGCCAAGGACTCACAAGTTGCTGATAGATGTGTGCAGAAACCAGCTACGTGGTTGGCCATTCCTGTAAATCATTGGACTCCATAAATTTCATTCTGGGCTTTTCCTTAAAAGCCCTCTCCCAAACTGGACACAAGACAATGGACACCAGCAGGCACAGCTCCCAGTGACTAGGATATTGTCACATATCCAAAAGCCTGGTGGGAGGAGCAGACATTAGGTCTGAATTCATCCTGGCAGGGAGATTCGGCTGAGAGAGGAGGAAAAGAAGGTCAGAGGCAGCTCCAAGGAAACGGCTTTGGTTTAAAATGTTTCATTAGAGTTTTCACACTGGAAATATAAAGTACGGGAATACAATTGCTTGGCAGAGGAACGTCATTTAGTAACAGTCCTGTGTACATTCAGTACTCTATACAGAAGGAGACAAAATATATCCCTGGCCATCTCAACAAAATTAGGGGTCCCTGTTGTAAATGTGACTTTTTTCCAAAATAGCTCACATCATCTGGAGATGTTTTTTATCAATATT